TGGGATATGGGATAGTCAAGTGAGTAATTCTGATACAGGTTTTTGTGTTCTATAAAAGGCTTTTCACTGGTGGTTTTTAATAACTTAGGGCAGTATTCATCTCCCTGTACTTTGCTACTTAAAAGGTAGGTGCTTTGGTTAAGTGCTGTAAAGATCTGGACTTCTTCACTAGTCAACAGAGACATACAATTCCATATGGTGATTACTCTTCTTCCCACCCCCTTCTGTGTACCACTGTTGGGTAGGTTTCTGAGTCACTGTTGAGATACTCCGCTGACTGGAATGGGAGCTTTATATACCTTCGTTCTGGGCAAGGAGGAGCTTCTAGAAATGGGGTAGGACAAGAATCACCGACAGGGGAGGGAATCTGCTTTAGGAAGCTTCTGCTGCCAAGATTGCTGCTCATCTGTCTGTCCCCAGCTGTATTCAATGGTAAAACAACATGCTGTGTGGTAGTGGAAGCTTCTACCAAGTATGGGTGTGCTGAGGGAATGGGTGAAGAAGAGGTGGGCTGAGACTTCTTTAAATGTTTTTAAAAAGCCAAACAGGTTAACTAGGAAACAGGACTGTTACCAGTCTCTTCTTTAGTCGCACCATACCATAAGACAAAAATGAATAGTAAGCTTCAGGCACCATGATAAAATTATTTCTGGATCTAGAAGTGGCTTGTTACAAGGACCTTTTATTCATATGCTTCGTACCTTATTAGACTCAAGTTGGCATGACTTCACTTCCCCCCCCAGTCTAAACTGCACTTTGTTTTCCTACAGGCCTCGCCTTGGAGTTACTCTTCACAAAGTAGTTATGGCTGGAGCCCTTTATCTATTATTTTCCGGCATGGAAGGTGTTCTTAGAGTCACAGGGGTCAGTAATAACTGCTTGAATTTTCCCACATGCCACAGATACTACTGGCTTTATTTACTTATATGCTAAGGGAGAATCCCAGGCTTATGCTGAAAGAAGGGAGCAGAGACAATGAAGTGGTTAAACTCTGAGACTGTGGATATGGATTATTGACAATTATTTTAAGTTTTATGTCTTCTCTATTTATTAGGATGTAATTCTGTGTATTTTGAAATAATTCTAATAGTTTTGTGATTAGTCAGGTTTCAGACATTCAGGCACTACATCTGCCTGGACCCTTATGTCTAATACTTCAGATTAGGTAGGGCTAGTCGCAGACACAAATGTACAGCTTGGGTCACCTGGCCATGAGTCTGAAAAAAAAAATGGGGGAAAAAAAAAAAAACAAACCCAAACCACCCAACCGAAAAACCAAACCCAACCAACCAAACCCCATCACCAGTCCAATTTTGGAGGCTGTACCTGGGGAAGTATATGTGAGTGGTGCTGCTACTTGCTTCATTAAGAAGCGCATCTCAGGGTGTAGATTTCTGTTGTTCTGTTTTTGGTATTTTGGGATAAGGTATTTAACTTGTCATATATTTGGTACTTTTTCAGTTTTTCTATGACACTGTGGCTCTGATAGCAAACTTGGCCCTGTCCATGATTGATGCCTGTATTATTTTGTGGATATCCTTTCATAAACTGCAGAATGTTACAAGCTTATTTACAGCTTATTATTTCTGTCTTATACTTAAAAGGATAAAAAGTGATTTGCTTGTTTCAGTTAGGACTTTGCCTTTGTGTGTACATCAAAAACTACCAATTTTTGCCACTTTCAGTCAAACTCATTGTTGCCAGTTTGTCCGTGGATAGTGTAAAAGATTTCTAACAAGCTGATTGCTAGTTTTCTGTAATGGAAGCGGCCGAGCACATTGTCCCAGCAGTTGCCTCAGCAGAGGCTCCTTTTAATGGTGCTAGATTGACTTAATCTGGAAAATTACTTGCTGGTGGAGAACTAAGAATTGACAGTGTGGTATTGTGAGTTCTCCTCTGTGCATTGGGCTAAACTCTTGGTTCAAACCCCCTGCTTCTGTAGTAAAACTCAGAAGCGTTGTGGTGGAGTATTTCTGGTTTTTCATTAAAAAAAAAAACCCACAAACCACCAAACAACCCTGACCCTCCTCACTTCTTCTGTGCCTTGTTTCCTTTTCAGTTTGTTCTTATTGGCTCTCTCTTTGTCTCCAGGCCCAGAATGATCTTGCCTCCTTGGCTTTTATTCCCCTGGCTTTCCTAGATACTGCCCTGTGCTGGTGGATATCCTTCACTATTTTACTTGGTGGGGTGTGTTTTCTTTCAAATTTTGGGTTTTTTTGGGAGTCTTTTTGGCTGAACTTTTTCTTTTAATCAGCTTTGAGTATATGTTCTTTCTACTTCTGCTAAAGTTAATAGAACCTCTGTAACTGAGTGTTCAGGTAAGCTTCTGCTACAGCCAGTGCAAGGAAAACTAGTAGACACCTGTGTTAGAGCAGCTGCTGAATATAACTATTAAGTCTGTCTGTTGTCAGTCTCTGATTGTTGAAGTGTGAAATTAATTTGTTCCAGTGTAGCACTAACAATACTGTAGTAGTAGCCTTTGGAGAACAGACTCAGTTTATGTTTTGGGGAGGTTTCTTAGCCACATCAAACCTAAAATTCTTTCTGTAAAAATTTGAACTCATCTTGAAGTAGTTAGGTGACAAAAGGGTGCAGTGTTAACTTTTTGGTGTCTTGACATATTACATCCAAACCACCATAATCTCATGTGACTTTAGCAATTGCTGTCAAATGCCAAACTCAAAGCCACGTATAGTAAAATCCCTATAAAGTGTGTTTAGTGAAAGTCAATCACAAAACTCTATTTACAATTTGAGTAGCTTGCTGCCCAGCCATGACAACCCTAATTCTCTCAGACAGTGATGTCTCTCCTAAGCACTTGCTTTGTCACTATAGAAATGAAACTGTAGGCAAAAGGGTGAAGACACCTGTATGTGCTGTCTAATTGGATTTTAACTTGCTTCTAGTTCAGACTTGATTTTCCATTTATCAGAAACACCTTTGACACTTTTCTGGAGGAGTGGGCCACAGTCCAAAACAGATACTTGGATACCATCTTTGTGTGACAAGAGTTCTAGGTTTAGATGACGTGAAAGGGGTGGGTCCTGCTCTTTAGCACCTTTGCCATATGATGAATTTTTCTTCTACTGAGTCTGGTCTGCTTTTTTAGAGGACTAAGCGTGTGAGTGGGAGAGCTGTTGATCATAAGATCTGTGTCCTCCTAAGTCGGTGACTAGCTTGTCCCTTCAGAGGCTTTCCTTGACTTTCCATACATATTCATCAGCTTAACTCAAACAATGAAACTGCTAAAACTTCGAAGGAATGTTGTGAAACTCTCTTTGTATCGGCACTTCACCAACACACTCATCTTGGCAGTAGCAGGTAAGCAGAAAATTGTTAATCAAATAAGAGCACTTGCCATTTCCATATGTGGCTTGATTTGATCACTAAAGCAGACTTTGAGTTGGGTGACCTTTCTGTAAATGCAATCAAAGTACTTGGTATTTCTAACACTTGATGCATTTCTAATAGTTGGTGTATGCCAAGTGTTACATTGATACTTCAGAGGCAGTGGATTATTAGTCCTGATGTTAATAAGATGAGTAGTTCTGTGCAGCTCCTCTAACTGAGCACTTGCGTCCCTCTTAAAGCTGCCATGGGCAAAAGATTATTATCCTATGCTGTTAACTTCACAGAGGTGGTTTTTGGCAAAGTCACAGTATCACTGTGTACTAGTGTACTGTGGGATTTTTAAGATGTCTGAAGACCAGATAGCTGAAGACCAGAGTGATTCTTGGAAGAACAGTATTCTTAATATTGTAATGCCCTCTGTGTTCTGGAAGAATACAGATTCAGATTCTCTTCCTATGTGTAATAGCGAAGAAGTGAACTTCAAGAATAAATCTGTTGGTGCTTCACGGTGCTCAGCTCCTCATCTATTTGGAAATGCTATCCATACAATGAGCAGAAAACTTCTAAGCACTGTGCTTTTTTATTTAGACAAACAAAAAGACACATTCCTTTTAATCAACAGCTCTGATTAAATTCCTCGCAGCATCTGGTTCTTAGTCATCATAGAACACCTTAGTGGAGGGAAGCCTCATCTTCTAAAACTGTGGTGAGGGCATAGTTTGAGCACTGGAACTCTTACGGGTCAAGATCTGAAAGCTTAGGCATTCAGGCAGATCAGATGGTTCATCAAGGTAGGCTTTATTTGTCAACTGATCATGAAACCATGGTTTGGAGACTAGATGGAAGTAGTATAAGAATAGTGAATAGGGATGAGGAGTTTGACTAAATACTTCATACTTGACTTGTGTCCCTGAAGAACCAAGAACAAAATATACTGGTCTGTGCCTAAACTACTGTATAAGGTCAGGGCAATAAATCAATCTCTTGTTTTCCAAAACTAATAAATTGGATTCCAAGAATTCGCTATTTAAGTCTTTGCCCTTTGTGTGGGAAACATGGTCCTGTCAGTAGTATATTTGGATTAGCATATTTTGCAGTAATAAGCAGCTTGTTTGTTTTAATCTTGCAGCATCTATTGTATTTATCATCTGGACCACCATGAAGTTCAGGCTAGTGGACTGTCAGTCGGTGAGTTTATATTGAATGCTTTCTGCGATTGCTGCTTCTTGATAATACACCTGGCAGTGTAATGAGAGTGAGATTGTGCATTCTGGAACAGATTTTTCTGTGGATTATGTCTAGAGTAATGTATCATGCTAAAATTCTCAACTGTTGTGGTAAACGAGCCTCTTTGTCAGATGCCTGTAGTTTACCTTTGGAAAGAGCTGAGCACATGGAGTCTTTCTGCACAACTTTTCCTATTTGTGCTGCTGTTTTCCTTGACAGGACTGGCAGGAGCTATGGGTGGATGATGCCATCTGGCGTTTATTGTTTTCAATGATCCTTTTTGTCATCATGATTCTGTGGAGACCATCTGCTAACAACCAAAGGTTCAGCTTTTCTTACCTCTTTCTAAAAATACTGGGTTTTGGGAATGCTTGTTTATCCAAAGAAGTACTGGTGGGTGATTTTTAGTTGTTGTATACTGATCCATAAGGATACTAAGCAGTGTGTGTAGGGGCTTGAGGAAAAGTAAGTGTAGGAAGTCACATAGATAAAATTCAATCTGTTCCTGGTGGTGAACTTATTTAAAAGTGACTTAAGCTTTTGATTATGTAGTTTAGCATAGGTCTTAAAATCAATGAACTACACAGAATAATCAAGTCATGTGAATGTCGGGGTAATGAATCTCTTGGGTGGCAAGAGATAGCTTTCATTCTTTTCCTCCTAAAGGTTTGCTTTCTCACCACTGTCTGAAGAGGAGGAGGATGATGAGCAGCAAGAGCCAATGTTAAAGGAAAGCTTTGGTAAGAGAAAAAACCTTTTTCCCCGCCTAATTTCAGTGTTGAAGAGACGCTTCTGTGGAGGAAGGTCTCTTGCTCTCTGACAAAAAGTTCATTATTGCTGTAAAAGTAGTGTCAATGCCTCCCTGTTGCCATTGATTTATGCAGTTGTAGAGGAAACATTGGCTTTGTTTAGTGTTTACATTGCCTGTTTAATTCTGGGGTTCTCAGATGATATTGAACACAGTGCTACTGTTGTGGTTGCTTTACTGTGACTGGACTTTGTTTTATTAAACGTGTCAAGCCACAGGTTTGGATCCAGCCATGATGATGGATATCTGAGGATCTCTTGGATATTGTTGCTAGGCAGTGGTTTAGTTTGCAGTTCTCTTTTAAAATCCAGTTTAAGGATTTTCATTTATTATCTGTTCTCTGAACTCTGCAATCTTCTTAATTGTCCATATTAGGGCCTAGTACAGGAATACCCATATGGATGAATATGTTTACATATTCATGAAATCTCATATGAATGAAAGAGCGCTGCTTTTTAACACTAGGTTATGTCTTTGTCTCCACTCACTCCCCTACTACTATAAAACCCTCTCTCTTCCCTGCCTCCCATCTCCCTACCATGTCTATTGTTCTTGTTACACTATTGTTTATAAGTTGTGTAAAAGGTAGGGTGACATATCCACTTCTGCTGTCTGTCTACAAATCAATTCTGCTGGGATATATCAGTGCTGTTTCCCTTGTTTAGGAGCTGAGGAGGGGTGTGAAAAAAAACGTTCCTTAGGTACGTTTGCCAAATCAGCTATATCTGGCTGTCTGCCAGGCTGGGGGATGCATGTTGCCTCTCAGCTCTTATGTCAACCAAGTGGCTGGTCAGCAGTCAGTAGGTGAAATAAATTTTGGAAGTTTCATGTCTCAGAATGGTTGAGGTTGGAAGGGACCTCTGGTGGTCATCCTGTCCAAGCACCCTGCTCAAGCAGGGTCACCTAGAACAGGTTGCCTGGGATTGTGTCTAGATGGTTTCTGAGTACAAGGATGGAGATTCCACAGTCTCTCTGGGCAACTGTGTCTTTAAGTTCTATGCTACTTAGTCTGGCTTAAAAAGAAGGACTAGAAACTGATATTTCCCAGGTAAAATTGCAAAATTCAGGAAAAGATAGGTGCTCCACCTGTCAAGAAAAATACAAGCCTTTCAAAGGGAAAGCATCATCTTAATGAGGAACTTGTCTGTCTTACTCTGTCTCTTTGGATTTGATGAATTATTCTGAATGAACACTCAAGACTTTCACTTACAGTCTATGAACAATTATAGTTCAGTTATCCCAATCTTTTTTTCCTTCTTTTGTCTTCAGAGGGAATGAAAATGAGAAGTACAAAGCAAGAACCAAATGGGAATGTAAAAGCAAACAAAGCTGTGAGTATACTCTCCCTACCTCGAAGGATATAGATGCATCTCTCTTGTTTGGTTGCTCCCCTGCCATAGTAGCTCACAAATATGCAAAGTGTTCAGCCTATAAATGTGAGTATCCTGGTTTGCTTCAGAGTGGGAGTGAGTCAAAGTATCATGTTTACAGTACTTTTGAAAAGAAAGTAAATACAGGTTTTTCATCTAACTCCTTGTAGGTACAATGGAAGCTTTAGAATTTGGTCTGTTCTTCAGGAAGTTTGCACAATCCAGTATAGATAGAACTGTATCATACTATATTCTGATAATGAATAATACATTATTTTAACAAGTTTGTCAGGCTGAGAGGGAGGCTGGGCCGTATTTTAAATAAATTAATTGCCCTTCTAATTTTGAGATTTGTGATTCATTACTCGAATGGGGTGATTTGTATATTATTATGTAGCTACCTAAATAGTTTGGGTTGAACATTTTTAATATATCTGCATTTTTTCCATGTGGCTTATAAGCAGAGGTGGTTTCACATTCAGCTAGGAGGTAGAAAATACGCCTCAGAATCTTTTCATGGAATTCATGCATAAATTCAAAAGTGGAAAGAACCTGTAGGATTTGATAATAACAGCAGTAATATTTTTGTTGTTAACATTGTTTTTTCTCAAAGGTTGGTTGCAACTGTATACTACTTCTCTAAGGATAACATGAAAATCAAACTTTTCTATTTGGGGGACAGGGGATCAGAAAGGATCAGGTCTCCAGCTTCAAAGCAAGTGTGCTTGTGTTGTGAATTAGAGAGTGTCCATCAGAAATGGGAAATCCTGACAATACAGTTTAACTTACCTTTGCAAAATCTAGCTTTTGCTTTTTATAGTAATTTTTCATCTGTAACATCTTCTAAAGATAATGTTAATTTGTGGGAGACTAAACTAGATTATGTAAATACCCAAAGTGTCCTGAGGCCCTGCTCTTCCTAGTCAGCATTAAACTATTAGAGTTCACAGTAAGTTATAGGTGGGGTTTTGTTTTTTCCTTTTTTCTTGGAATGTGTTTTCTGTAATCCAGAAATCAAGTTGAACGTGGGTTTTTGGGTTTTGTTGTTTTTTCTTTAAGTGATATTATAAATACATTGGGTTTTGTCAAGTAGGCTGAGAAGAAAAAGGCTTGCATGTGACAGCATTTTGGGAAAATTTACTTCTGTTTTCCATTTAATTTCGGTACTTGTAGCAGGAGGATGACCTGAAGTGGGTAGAGGAGAATGTTCCTTCGTCGGTGACAGATGTGTGAGTATTTTTATAGTCACAATAAAAGCAGGTTCCTTGGACACAGGAACACAAATACATTAGAATGCCTTATAACTTGTGTGGTGCACTACTGAGTTCAGCCTGGAATTGGCCTCTGACTACTTAGCATGCTTCCAACTTGACTTTATGCAGTCTGTCAGACTTGCAGTTCATGCCACTTGAACACATGCTGACTTAAGGAACACTGTCTCTGACTGTGAGACCACAGGCTGATTTGTTTGCACTTCACTGAAGTTAAAACTAGATAAATAAATCCAGAAAAAGAACAAAAAAAACCTTCTCTTGCTGTTTAGTGCTCTGAAAAGTCCTTTGAGTATCTTGCCGAATGTAAACTACTGAATAATGTCATTTAGTTCTCAACTTTATTTGGTATGTCTGAGTCATTTTTATGCTTCTGGCAATATCATCAGCTATGTAGGCAGTCCATATCTATTCTGCTTTTAATAACTTTTACATCGTAAAAACGTCAGTGTCTAAATTTTTCATAGCAAAACACAAGTTCACAGATTAATTATATTCACAGATTTGAACAGGTAATTTTGGCAGAGGCTCTGGATTTAAGTACAAAACTCTGCTTGAAGTTAGTTGAAGACAACAAATCAGGTGAAGCTTCAAGAGGATGAAAAAGTTCATTTTCTCAATTGAATTTGTTTCTCCCAGTTCTAGTACTTATTTTTTGAAGAATGGTAGGATTCCTTAAGAAAACAAGGACTAGACTGGTATAAGGCAGGAAAGGGCACTTTGAGGTAGTCTGCTGCAGGGTTTTCTGTTCTTGAAAGTATGTTGATCAGGGTTGTGAAGAGATGAGATCCCAATAGGTGGATGGAAGTTTTATTGTAGCTGAAAAGGCTATGGTACCAATGTAACTTGCTTGATTTCTGGGATGTGTTTTTAGAATATGGTCCCATATTGTAAATGTCTTCAGCGTAGTTCAGCAGTGTTCCCATATGAATGATGCAGCTTATTTCATGGAAACTTGGAAATTGTTCAGACGGTAATGAGAAGCTTAGGGAAAAAAAAGAATTTTAAAACTGTGAAGGTCATTGAGGATATTCCTTGGGCTCTTCCTCTTTTGTATGTCTTTCTCTAATTTCTATCTGTTTAATTGAAAGGTCTATCTTCATTACTGCTCTCCTGTGACCTAAAAAGCTTAAGGTGAAACATAAGGCTGAAAATGGTTGTCAATAATACGATCTCAGTAGGTGCTCTAATTATCTTAACTGTTTCTCTTTGGTTTTTTTTTGGCCCACCCTGCAGTGCTCTTCCAGCTCTTCTGGATTCAGATGAGGTCAGTAAACAAATCTTCAGTTCAAATTAGTCTTCTGACATGCCAAAGGAGTCATGAGTCAGCTTGTTCAGGACTTGGCTTACTAGTACTGGACTCTCTGATCGTGCCAGTGCAGCAGTAAAATATTACAAGGCGGGGAAGGATGGTGGGGACAACCATGATACACTTAGAGTACAAATGTGTATTCTAAATGCGTATTCTAAAAAGTGGTATATCTGCTGTGTAAGCTGGACTCTTGACTTAAAATGCATATGAGTGTGCATTTGTTGTGAATATGCAAAGCATACCACGTTATTTCTGAATAATGCAAACCTACTGGGGGAAATGACAACATTGGGTATTTTATTTTTCAGGAAAGAATGATTACACACTTTGAAAGGTCCAAAATGGAATGAAGGAGTAGCTTTTTGCTATTGGAAGTGGAGATGCCTCTGTTAAAGTTGCTTGGTGGAGCAAGTGCATCCTGCTGACTTGTTTCTTGATCTCAGCATTGGAAGCTTGATGCTTTATTGTCATGAGGGCGTCTTGCTGTGAAAGAAGTTCACAAGGACATTATAAACCTTTTGGAAATTTGAATTTACAAAGTTGCTGCAAGTTTGGATTTTTAAGCAATTTAAATGTGTACTATTCCAGCACCTTCTGTAACTTTTCAAATATTTAATCTGTGAAACTAAAATTCCTAATGTCTGCTTGAGGAGTTTATATTTCAATGCTATAATTGACACGTAGAGGTGAACTGCCTGTACCTTTTTTGGGGGGAGGGTGGGGACAGATAAAAATAAGCACTGAAGAAAAAACAGACCTGTCTTCTGGTAGATAATGGCTTACTGCTGTTGTATGTCACGTGTCCAACATGAATGAGAGGTTTTTAGAGAGAACTCCTGTTAATGAAGAAAATTAAGATGCCAGAAAGGAAATATTTGGAAAAGTTACAGTGATAAGAGTTTTTAACAAAATCAAGTGCAATTTTATTCATAACACTGTGTAAGAAAGATTTTCTATTTTAAATGCCATTGACCTATAGGTAACAGCTGCATAGAGCTAGCACTTGCTGTTGTGGCACATCTCATTGCCGGCAATGTGGTGGATGCCTGGAAAAATGATTTGCCCCCATCTTCTGTGTGTTGCATGATTTAATTTAAAAAAAAAAAGAAAACCAACCAACAAACCAAGCCACAAACATCACCAAACCCACTCCTGCAGTGCTCCTCCACAAGTGCTTGACTACTCACATTAAGCAGATATTAACTAGACATTTCAGCAGAACTCTTCTCTGTGCATGTGTAACATCTTCCACTGAGAAGTCAGCACTCTTCTACAAGAAGATGGCATTGCTTTCTAGGGTGCAAGCACTGCTTACCTTACTTGAAAGAGGCTTTGATGGGAGTACACAGTGCTGGGATAGTTCTGTTCCCAGTGTCTGTTTAGCATTGCCTCCCATGTAAGCGATCTGACGATGGGCTTTCCTGTCCCAATTGGTCCCTGTGGCCAAGAGGTACTTTGAGATCACTGTGTTTCAGTCCAAGTTGCAGATTTCTATTCTATATAATTGCCTTTTTTTTTCTCCTTTTCAAATGAAAAAGAGCTTTTGGACAGTGTTCTGGTTTTACTCTATGCTTGGCTGTAGAGGCTTCACTTGCAATAACTTGTATGTGGGAACCCATGGTGGACTGTATGTCAAAAGCTCTAATTTGGGTTCATAACCTTTACAACTGATAATTACCAGGTGAGCAGCAGCACAGCTGGACTTCTAAAGAGCTGATGTGGGTGCTGCTGGAATGGCATAGGGAGTTAGCTTTTCTGGTTCTTTACTCATAGCTACGTCAGCGGAAGTGAACATGTGCCTGTACTTCATTCCACTGTAAGGTCTGGTACCTTAGCTCTAGTTCATCTTTATCAGCAACTTATGCTGAAACATGGCACTTTACAGTAGAGTAGCTGAGGCACAAGTGCATAGTATCTTCTGCTAGCTGTGCCGTGGGGGCAGCAAACCCTCAGTGGACGGGCAGAGGGGAAAAAAGCTGTGGCTGTAACACCTCAGTCTGCCTCTGCAAGGATTGCTGGAGCTCTTCTGCCATCCCCTTTAGGCCACAGGTAGAATCTTTAATTAGAAAACACTTTGACTTCTAATTTCCTATGCTTAATTGATACAAATGAAACAAACATTACCTCCATGTCTGTTTGGGGAGAGAAAATTTTGTGAAATAAAGCTACATGAAACTCGCTATTTAATTTTGGGTTTTTTTAAGTCCTATTGTTTTTGATTGTTTGGGGTTTTTTGAGACAAATAGGGGAAAAATATTCTCTACTGGAAGCACAAAAGAAGTTTGTATGTACCATTTAATAAAAGCTAGGCAAAGAGTAGAAAGGCTTACATTGTGTCCTTCTACTTTCTTACTGCCTGTTCTCTCGCATGAGAAAGTGTTAACCTCTTCACAAAGCTCCCTCACTTTTGTTTAATTCTGTATTGCATGGCATTTATAATGCAGTTATTCCCAATTTAGCTCTGGGGTTTTTTTTCTTGTTAAGCTTGACTATTAATAGAGTGGAAGTCTGTCATTTGAAAAGCTAATATAGATAGGGAAAATCATAAATTTCTGAACAAAAGTGAAAGATCTAAACAATTTCCCTAATTGCATTCATAACTTAATTTAAAGACTAAAATAAATGTAGTAGCAGTGTGGTGCTTTCAGCCTACAGCTCCAGCGAGTTTGAGCAGTCCTCTCTGCCCTTCTACCCTTCCATCCCTGTAGTAACTTCCATCAGTATTTGAATTTGTCCTGAATTCCACAGGGGGCTTGTTGCTCCCTTAGCTGTTCTTGTTTTTTCCACTCGTTTGGCAGAGTTTCTGTATCCTTGGAAGGTAGCATCTGCTGCCCAGCATGCAGCAGGCGCGTGCTGTGACTTCCTTATTTGCAGTCTTGTGGAGAATTTGTATCGGATCCCGGTTCACACAGTATCATGTGGGCAATGGCACACGCACAACTACTGCTGCAATTACAATTGCAGAAGAAGTGGCCAAAAGCAGCAGATGTGGGTGAGGAGTGAAGAGTTGATGTGCAAAGGAGTTGCAGCAACGTGGCGTCTCCCCTGACAGCACACTCGGTCAGATGTGTTGGTTCTACTAAGGAACTCTTTGCCTCTCCTGATTCTGGTTTTGTTCCTCAAGATGTGTGGGCTCCACTACTTGTCAGGAAGGCTTTGTCAGCAAGCTAGCTTGCTAGAATGCATAAAACCAGAAATCCTGCAGGATTGTTACCTTTAATTATGTACACAGGGAAGACAATGCAAATTTATACCTGTTCTTTCAAAACAGGTAATTTTAAACCATACAGACTACTCTGAAGACTTGGTGAGCAGGAGGGAGAAAACACATTTACTCTTAGGTCTGAGATCTGCAGAAGTTTTTAGTGACTAGAATGGTGTATAGAAGCTGAATTTTCTTTAGAAAATTTGGCTGCTGACTTCAAATATCTTCAACAAGCTGTTCCTAATTGAGATAATGCTCTACTTGCAGAAAAAATAAATGTCTGCCAGGAATTCAAATATCAAGGGAGTTTTTTAGAGTTCTTGTGCCTGGTTAGTTGTGTGTGTGTGTGTGTGTGTGGACTTGTTTGTGTGAAGTAGCTGTGATATTAGTGATGCAATTGTTGTAGCATGTGCATGCCACGCAGAAAACTGAAAACAAAGTAACAGTGGAGGAGATGATGTTGTTGACCAGCTTTTCATTAGGGTGACAAGATGTTCCTGCTAGGAGCTCTGAAGGAGGGACTGAGTAGTAAGAGATCACATAGCGTGGTAATGAAATGCAACAGGCTTGATAAGCACAGAGTGAGTCAGGATCATAAGACCTGTGGTTGGGAAGAGTATGTTTGTCTTATTCCACAGATGTAGGGGTGTGTGAGTTTGTGGGCTTTTTTTTAATCCTTCTGTTACTTTCATGTTGTATGCTAAAGTAGAAGTATGCTACTTTTTAAAACTGAAGAGGCCAATGCCCTGCACGTAATCTGCACTCTGGTAAAGATGGATTATAGCCATTTGCATGTGAAGTTACTATTACCCAGTGTTACTGAAACTTACATTTCCTTTCACTAAATTGGTGCTATGTTCCTCTTTTGTAGGACTCCTAGGTCAAGGAGACCAGATACATGCCTGAGGGCCATAACTCCTTTGGCAATTTGCAGTTCTGGTATCTGTGAAGGGGACGTGACTTAGCATGGTTTCATGCTTTAGCAAGGTTTCATTCCTGAGCAGGAAAGAAGTTGGATGCATGAGTGCCACACTTGTTCTCCTGTTCCTGTGCTTCGATCTCCCAGCACAAAGCATCCTCAGTCCCTGTTTTCTAAAACAGTCTGTTTGTGAAGATGCTCAGAGAGCTTAGCACCATGTGCTTTTTTAGTTTGGTTTAGTTAGGTTAGCTTCTAGGTCAGCGGTGGTGAACGTTGCGCCTTTCCACGGCCGATGTAAATGCAACCATGGCCTGTTCTGGAAGGGACAAGGTAACAAGCAGAGATTGCCTCCTGGAGACTGAACTCCGCCGGCCAAGTTCATAGGATAAGTTCATGAAAGTAAAATTTAGGATCTCCAAACGTAGATGTTTACTTGCAGGGGATGTTTTGCTGTTCTCATCTGGTTTCCTTAGGCTGCGCAGGTCAGTTTTTGGTTTTGCATACAGGGCGACTTTCCTCCCTGCCACGGTTTATGTTAGCCAATGACAACCTGACGCCTCCGATGCTAACATCGTTGTGGGGAGACAAAATGAGTGTCTTGCAGTCCACCCCCTTTTCGTGCTGTATGAAGACGCGGAAGGGCTCTGTCAGGGCGACGAGGGTCCCCTCAGGGGCGGGGAGCGCG